GAACTCACAAAGATAGAAGTCGTCTCTCTCTCTCGTCTCACTAATGTGGATTAACTCAGACATGATAATCCCAACACAATCCGTGTGTCTTCGGTCTCTTCTTTTATCTGCTGGCTTTTTGTTGTCTTTAATCTTTCTACCTTCCACTGAGTCTCTAACTGTGGACATAGAAGTGTTTGAGTACATCTGCTCTTCTGACACGAAGCTCCGCCCCTCTGCTCCTGGTTCAGGTTCTGGTGAACGGAAACATCAACACCTACGTGATAAAGGGACTGAGCCCCCTCACAGAGTACGAAGTCCTCCTCGCTGCCATCTACGCCAACGAGGCGGAGAGCGACAAGGTCGCCCTCGTTGAGTCCACCGGTACTTTAAATGTTTCTAAAGAGAAGTGCACACATCAGGTGTTCTCTGTTGTTGTGTCTGTAAACCAACCGTTAAACTCCTATGAACTGTTTCAATCATATGCTTTTTGTTTTTTCATTTTCAGTGGAAAAAACGACCACCGTCGCTACAACGACCACCACCACAGCAAGTAAATACCTCACTCCGGACTCACTGCTGTCCATAAGAATCGTACAAACAGCTTCCTTGTGTTCGACTTTTTAGATGTAATAAGAATAAAACTAGCATTTTCACTTCTCTCTGTATAAGTTTGTTAAAGTTTCGGAACAAGCGGAGGGATTATAAAGGTGACATTTATCTAATAATGTAGAAGATAATGTTCCAACTTGCTCCGAGGATAAATCATTTGAAGATTAAACAAATATCTGACAGCAAACATGCGATTAGAAGTTGGCTGCCGTGTCTCTGATGGCGTCTTCAGGCGGACGGCGCATCGTTTCCACACAAACTTCTACGGCAAACCGACGTTGAACAGACGCCGAGTAATTTAAATGCCAAAATGTTGACGGCTTGATACGATCAGTTCTCCTGATATACATTTTACTGCCTCTGATCCTCCAGCTCCTCGTTTCGGGTTCAGGAACATGAGGATCGATGAGGAAACCACCTTCAGTATGCGGGTGGCCTGGCAGCCCACGGACACCAGGAACGTCCGACACTATCGACTGAGCTACGTCAGCGCCAAGGGAGACCGAGCAGAGGAGCAGGTAGGACGGAGAAACAGACGACGTCTGCCTTTTCTTTTTCCTTCATTAAAATCTGCTTTAAAACTTCACACGTTTGGATCGTCTGCCTTCATTCTATACCTTCTTTTTAGAGGAGATTATGTGTTCGGTCGTGAGTGCGTCTGTCCGTCTGTCCAGGGCTAAGCTCGCATACTGCTGGTCCCATCGGAGTAATATTTTTGTACTCATCTATGACTGTATTTTCAACAACCTTTCGTGATTGTTCGCACTTTTTGAAATGACGTGTGACTTAAAGGATATCAGAGCGTCGATCGTCACTCCTCAAACCACTCCTACTTCATATTCCCACCTCCACCGGCGATCTGTTCAGTATGTGACAAACACTCCGTAACAGGAGGCGACTGTGGCTCAGGCTTAGAGCGGGTCGTTCTTCAATTTAGAGGATTGGAGGTTTGATCCCCGGCTCCTGCTCCTGTGGTGTATACAAGTACAAGTACAAGTACTACAGAGTTGTTTTGGCCGAGTTTCTTTGGAATCAGTTGTAATTCCTGAGGTAGGAATAAGTCGGTGGTTGTAATAACTGTGTAATAACTGTAGCCAATTAAAAGTTTGGAGTCTAAGACTGTCGCTGTGTGCACGTTGGACGGCGAACGATTTGTCGAGATGTAAAAGGTGTTTGGGGAGTCGTGGAAGGAACTCAAAGAGGAAGATGTTGATTTAAACAAAAGCCAACCCTTCGATGTGTCAATCTTCAACGCAGACAGAGAGATTAATGATGAAGACGATGGCAGGCCATCAGATTAAAAGTCCCTCTGTGGAGAGAAAGAGGGAGGGACACAAAGACTGTTGTTGTTGAAGTTGATGGCAGTCCTTGAGAGTGGAGTCGAGAGGAAGAGGAGGATAAAGACGATGAAAACGGTGGCACGTCTTCAAAGAGTTTGTCTCACCAGAGAGAGAGAGAGAGAGAGAGAGAGAGAGAGAGAGAGAGAGAGAATGGCAGGTCTTCACTCTAATGAGCCACAACCGACAGAAACAGAGAGAGAAGTAAAGACGTTTCTAGAAAATGTCCGTTGGAATGTACGTTGTGTGTGTTCACTCCTGTGTGTTCACTCCTGTGTGTTCACTCCTGTGTGTTCACTCCTGTGTGGGCAAACGTTAAAGATGCAACACAGATGAAGATGCGACGGCCTGAAGGGACAACGTTAGAGTAAAGACGTCTGTGGTTTTGTAAACCTGCGTCACGTGAGATGTGATCACTAACTAAATATCTTCTTCAATATCAGTTTCCGAATCTGTGGAGATTTAAAAAAGAAAAGAATGAAACCTTTTTATAAAATGAGGTTTGGTGGCTGGTTATGCATGTTTGTGTGTCTGTGTGTTAAAGTTAATATAGTTGGTTCGATGAGCTTTCTTTATTCAGGAATCCTCTCTGAGATCGAGATGTCTTTTACATGAAACACCTCAGAACTAGTTCCATGTGTGACAAAGCAGCCGTCAGACACATCACTGATGTCTTTAAGGAGCACTAAGCCTCTTGGAGAACATCTGTGTTTCACTTTGAGCTCATCTTGTGATGATGTTTAGTATTTCTAAGATATTTTTAAGAATATACGGCTCCAGTTAAACTAAGAGAACCACATGTTGTCTTCTTTAGGGGGAGACAGCAGGTCAACAGGAGATACCTCATGAACACATCATCTGAACATTAATCTGAAATGCAGCGAAATGTTTTGAGTTTTGTTTTCGGCTCCATTCAATATTTAGAAGTTTTAAGTGTATATGGGTTAGGAAATTATGATGGAAGTATAAGATGACCGTTTTCCATGCCCAACTAACCCTTCGCTAAGCTCCGCCCCCTAGATTCATGCAAGAATTGCAATTTGCTGTGATTGGGTTGCGAGCGCTTCTTGTTGGAAACTGCTCAGAAACTCTTTATCATCAGTACACCTATAGGACAGCCACACGTCCTCTGAATGTATGATATTAAAGATGCATCCTTGTTTCTGGTTACATAGTAGGATGTGTACCGTATTGTCCGGTTAACAAGTGTCTAATATCTCTAAATGATCAATCCCTCGTACTGTAGAACGTGTGCGTTGACAGGTGTGTGTTTGTGAGTTTGTGCCGTCAGCACACCGGTAGCCGCCGTGTGTCTGCGGTGCGACGCCGGCCACCGGTCCCACGTCAGCCTTTTCATCCTGACAATAAAAGACAGCCGCCAGCTGCTCGCACCAGCGGCTTGTTAAATGAGATCTCTTATCAAAGTGTGAACAGCTGTGGGCTCCATTTGGCAATCCGGTCAGGTCATGAATCACCAAGTGCTGCACTCAATAGCTCCCATTTAGATGTCCATCAGCTGCTGGGGAGATAAATAAATAAGCTGGCAGAGAACTTCCTCTCAGGGTTTGTTCAAAGCAAGTTCCACTCCGTGGTTTGTGGCTGCCGAGGGAGGGACGGCAGCCGGTATGAGGCAAAAACATGAAAAAGTCAAATACGTAAAAAAAAGACTCATTTACATGCGATTGATTCCTGGATGGCAGTTATCTCACTTCATCCTCACTGATGGAATTTGGTCTCAAACTGTTAATAACTTGGACAAAAATTGCGGATGGGAAAAAGCCGGCTCCGGAGTTGTAACCAAATTATATATCGAATTTAATTAAATTACAGATTTTAATGCAGCAATCTCATGCAAAGTGCTTTTCAGGCTTGATTAACACCAGTTCATCATCATAAAAAAGCAGACGAGAAAAGGTGTTTAACATATTAAAGCGATTCTACAAACGCAGTCTGCTCAAGTCTGGCTTCTCTTGGCTTATCAGTGACCTTTGACCCCTCTACAGAAACCTGATGAGTGTCCCCGACAGGAATAGTCAGTGAAAATATACCTCTTTTTGAGAACTATATTCCCTCTTTTCACCATGGATGCAGTATGAACCTGAAATTGAGCACATGTCTCCTTTCAGAGTGGGGAGAACATATTTAGTGTTCTTCTCAGAAAGAAATGTGGAAAAATGACCATTTCCAATACGAAGTATAGACGTGGTAGTATTATGGAGTAATGTCACTCTCCCTCAGTTCTTAGATTTCTCGTCTCTTCACTGCTTTTATCCCTGAAGTTCTCGACCAGCTGCTCCACGTCGTCACATTAGAAAGACTTCCCACTGACGTCTCCCGATGACGCATCTTTCATATACGTTGGTGTGCATTTTGTGATCAGAGAAAATAATGTAATTTATGCATCTCTGATGATAGAATACAGACCTTGTGCAGTAGGAGGGAAAGAAAAGGTGCATGAGGATCTTTCATCTGAAGTGTTCTGAAGGATTACTCATCAATATCTTTTATATGATCCGTGATTCTAATGACTGCACGTAAAGTTAAATTAGTGTCTTGTCGTGAGCAACCTGCAGAAAATGATTGACATCTCTGCTGCTTCCTGCAGATTTTTATCCTCTTTCAAGTTTTGGAACATTTCCTGTCTGGTTCTCAGTGTTTCCAGCAGCAGACAGTTTACTGATGAACCCGCTGTGCACGACCTGCTCAGCAGCAAACAGAGAGGATGTTGGACTTAAATTCGTCACGGGACAAAACACGGATGTGTTAATCAGCTAATTGTATGTAAAACGTTATCCAGATCAACTTTATAAGGTGATAGTAGTCACGACTGTGGCTGGCACCTTGTTTTGGAGTTGCTCTGCCCCCTACTGGTCAAAATAAGACAACTGCAGCTTTCGAGCACACCGCTTCTTGCACTAAGCTCTGTCACTGAGTTCAGATTTCCTCAGTGCTCATCCCTCTACATGCTTATAACCAGAGAAGTTAATGGTTGTGCCCTTTCACGTGGCTCTGTCACTACCAGCCGTCGCTGTGGGGCGACTCGTCTCTGCAGCCATCTGTCCTCACACAGCTGTGACGCTGCGCTCAGTGAAGCGCGGTTATTTCCCCGCGCCGATTCATTCAGTGGCCAATAAACCGAAGCTGCGGGGCGTCAAGTGCAATTCCGCTGTGTGTAAACAGAGTTTCGGCTGTTATTGCTCGGCAACAACATGTTGTTTGGCGGGTAAAAAACGCTGTCGAGGGAAGATTAAGAAGTTTGAGCTTTTCCTTCTGTCACAGATTATCTGTTGTTTTTACAACTATGGAAACGAATCCAACGCCTGTCTTAAAGGTTGTTTTTTTTGCCATCCTTCATACGAACCACACTGCTGTTTGATGACCTTTGACCCCTTTCCAGTGGGTGTTTGGGTGCGTTTTTGGTGTCAAGTCTCTAGAATTGTAAAAGCTGCTGTTTCCTGTGAAAAACAAACCTTGTGAGACTCCGCCGGTTTGTTTTGTGCGTGAGAGAGAGTCCTGCAGATCACCTGAAGCGCTGAGAAGAAGAGCTAACATTCCAGCCTTATATCCGCCAAGAAAAGAGCTTTGAGTGGTGGTGTGGAAGCATTATGGATATCTGCAAAATGACCAGGGAGTAGTTGTAGAAGATGGATGGACAATTTTGAACGCGTGCTGCCAGTGAACGCTACGTTCTGTACTGTGTGAGACTGTAAATATGAAATGGACAAGTCGCCCATTCGTTTGTGAAGCCTTCAGTTCAGCATTTTGGCCGTCGCCAAGTTGTTTTTTGCCGTGACACGAGAGGGTGGAGGCGGAGCTACATCCAGCCGAACGCTGATCAAGACAATTTGGTGTGAAAACACATTGTGAAAGGGTTAAGGTTACTAAATGTGACTCTAGATGGAACCGTCATGATGATAAATCATACTTTAGTTCATTAGCTGTATCGGTAATATTGTAATTAATAATCACTAAATATGTTAAACAGGGATATTTGATAATAATTGTGGTATCAGTATCTCGACATCCCTCCACAACTGTCCCATGTGATGTGATAATGAGTTTAGCATTACTCAGGGGTCCTGAGGACAGTCCAGCCACTGAAGGGAGTCCCACTGGTGTTAGCAGGGTCTGTTTAGATATTACATTACAGTCACTTACAATTCAGATTCTATCACACCGTAGGC